CCCCAAAACCCCAAAACCCCAAAACCCCAAAACCCCTGATTAAATTTAGTTGAAAGTAAAGGGTTAAATTAGTATTTTTGTATTGAAGAAATTTAAGTTTGAAATTAATTTAAATTTTTCTTAAGGTTGAAATATTTATTAAGAAATTTAGCTTGTTTTTCATCAATTTTGCTCATTAACTACTTTAATTTTATTATTCTTGTTGCTGTTATTGTTGTTCTTTTGGCTTCACTTCTTAATCTTTTGTCTCAGTTGAATTCTACTGATTCTTCTGTTGCGGTTGCTTTTATTAGCCAGCCTTTGATGAGTCTGATTGCTAATCCTTCTTCTCTTCCTCCTATTAGACAGTATCACTGCTCTAATTAGAAGAAGATTAGGTAGAAGGCCCATCTTCTTCTTCTTTCACCTCCAGATGATCACAAACATCATCGGTATAAAGAGAGAATTCATGCTTCACTTAATCAGCAGCCTTTTAAACTTAATCCTTTGAGACTTTGACACTAGCAAATTGCTATTGAATAAGTCTTGCAAATGCTGCTTATTCTTATATGACCTCATCAGAGGGTTTTTAGTCTAAATGATTAGCATATTCCAGAAGAGATAGAGCACTTCTTAATTAAGCAACTACCTTTACTTGATAGTCCTCTTCTTTAAGCAAGCATTCAACTGCTTGCTTAGTTCTTTTTCTGACGTCAGCACCTTCAAAATATTGCTCAACTGAGTGATTCATTAAACCTCTTTTTTCAGGGTTGTCAATACCTATTTCGTTAGGGGTAGGTGGATTAAATCTAAAGTATTGTCCACCCATGATTGGTTTGAAGAGATCAAGTATTTATTCAGAGGTCTTTTACAAGTCAAGAGCAACCATGTTCAAAGCTTAAAGGCTTCCTGAAAGTAGACCAGTCTTGACCTTGCCATCTTCTTTGACATGTATCAATTCAAGTACCTTATCGAGGGCTGATCTTAAGTATCTTTTGACATCGAGAATGTTACCTGCGTCATCACAGCACCCATGAGGTGTATTTGTCTCTAATTTGGGGTAGCTAGTACCGATTGAGAGCATTCTAATATTTTCAATCTTAACTTTAGTTGAAGCAAGTAGAAGTCCCCATGAAGCTGGATTATTAGCGAAGAGTCCTCCATCAACAAACACTCTATTTTTTTACTCGGGGACTTATTTCTTTTCTTTTTCAGTTAATCCTTCTTATAGGGGTCTGAGGTTAGCGAGTGTCACTGGAATTTTATCAAATACCTCAGAGGGCTTGAAGAATGTAGGAGCAGCCGATGTTGCTCTAGACACTGAAAGGATAGTTTTGCTAAGATCATCTGGGTTCTCAGTATCGAAAATTCTTGGGGAGTACATTGGGCCATTGATCTCATCTTGATGAACATTGACTGCAGTAAGTAAAAGTCTGACTCTGGGATTTCTTTCTTTCAGATCTTACAAAGTAGCCTTGTCTCCAAGACCTCTAAGTATAGATGATGATTTTGGATCTCCATATACAAAGTCATCTGGATTTTCTGAGAATAAATATTTTCTCAGTTGCTCCTCAAGACCTTGTTCATTATAACCCACTGTGATCAGCTGTTTGCTCTGAATTGGGATTTTGAGTACTTTATCATTGAAGTTATCGAGAATATCTGTAATGTCAAACTCATCTTAGAAGATATGAGGCATCATTCTAGACATGGCGTGAGCAAGTTTCTTGGCACTATAGCCAGCGACTAAAGCGACTGCAATTAGACCTCCGACAGAGGTCCCAATGACGCAATCAAAAGCATCAATAATCTTGAAATTACGGTTGCCAGTGCTCAGTCTGAATTCTTGCTCAATTTTTTCAAGAACTCTGCAAGTCATTAATCCTTTAACACCGCCTCCATCTAATGAAAGCACAGAGTATTTCTTATCAAGTCTAATAGAATTGAGACTTGGGTTGTCGATTTTCTCAAATATAGGGTCAATTGAAAGTTACATGAGTGGTATACAGAGAATTTAATATTAAAGATATATTCTGTCGATTATTTAACATCATTAATTGTACCTGACGTCATGAACATGGGGTTTTGGGGTTTTGGGGTTTTGGGGAGATCGGAAGAGCACACGTCTG